GAGCCTGGGAGAGGTCTAGACACTATGCTCTAGGAGTCAGAGAGGGTAGGCCAGTCTCGCTGCCTGCTCCATGTGACTGAGCCAGGCCTCTGGGCTCGAGGTGGAGGAGGAGGTGGAGGCGAGGGGCTGTCGCGGTGGGCCGTGTCCCCACCGCCTCCAGGCTGGGAGGGCTGCAGAGGGGAGGACACAGAGCTTCCTCCTGGCCCCTCACCTGGACACAGGCTCCGTGCTCTCACTGGCTGCACCTCCAGTTCATAAGCTCCTTCCTCTAGGCCAGGACCACCTACTGATGCCACTCCCCTGATCCTAGAAACATCACACCTAAGGGGCCAGCGGCCAGAGGGGGGAAGAATAAGCACAGCCCTTGAACAGGCCCGAATAAAGTAGGAAACAGGAGGACCTTGAATGAGAAATAATTAGAACATGTTACAGACTGAATGTTTGTGTCCTTCCCCAAGCTCACATGTGGAAACCCTAACCCCGATGTGGTGGCACTTGGCGGTGGGCATTTGGGTGGTAATTAGGGTTAATGAGGTCATGATGGAGGGGCTCCTGTGATGGGATTTGTGCTCCTGTAAGAAGAGGACGAGAGACCAGAGCTTGCTCTCGCTGCCATGTGAGGACACAGCAAGAAGGCTGCAGTGGGCCAGCCAGCAAGAGGGCCCTCCATAGAATGCGACCTGTCTGGCACCCTGGTCCCAGACCCCAGCCTTCGGAACCATGAGGAATACGTGTGTGTTGTTTAAAACCCACTCAGTCTGGTGTCTTGCTAAAACAGCCCCAGGGGACTAAGATAAGGCATTTAAGTACATCCTGGTACAGAATTAAATTTCTTATGTGAACTTAAATTTTTTGTTTTTTGGTACGTGCCCCTAGCAGGAACCGAACCCTGGACTCTCTGGTCCGCAGGCTGACGCTCCAACCGCTGAGCCAAACTGGCCAGGGCTGTGAACTCAAATTTTTAAAAATTAATATAGGAACTTGCCCTGGCTGGTTTGGCTCAGTGGTTGGAGCATCGGCCTGCGGTCCAGAGAGACCCGGGTTCGGTTCCCACTAAGGGCACGTACCTCGGTTGCAGTTTGTCCCCGGCCCCGGTTGGGGTCGTGTGGGAGGCAGCCACTAGATGTGTCCCTTTCACATTGATATTTCTCTCTCTCCCCCCTGCCCCATACCTGAACGAAAATGGAAAAATGTCCTTGGGTAAGGATAAAAAAAAAAAATTAATATAGGAACTAGAAACAAGAATAGTTACTTTTAAGAATAGAATTAGAAACATGAAACAAAGTAGAAAAAAATGGCAAAACATCAGAGCCAGATACAAAGAGAGAAAAAGATACGAGACTTGGCGGACAGATCCAGGACGCCCGGCGTATGAATGATGGGAGCTCCAGAGGGAGACAAAGAAGCAGATGGAGAAGAAGCAATAGTTACACAGAAGAAGATTCACCTGAGTTGGGAAAAATCTGCAGCTACAGATTGAAAAATTCACTGAGTTCCAGGTAGAATTGTTTAAAACAACAACAAAAGCCACAATTAGGTACATTCTGATAAAATTCCTGAACTTCGAAGATGAAGAGAAAAATCTTACCAGCTTCTGGGTATAAGGAGTCAAGGCACTTAACAGAGAAAGGAGCATCAGACTTCCTGCCGGCCTCGACATTCACTGGGAGGAAAGGCCTTCAAGTCAAGAATTCTATACCCTTTCAATTGATCACTCCTTCTTCAGGGTGAGGGAAGGGTGATTATTGACACGGCAGGGATTCTGACTCTTTTGTCCAAGTGTCTGATCTGAGGAAAATGCTAGGAAAAGAACTCTAACCCAAACACTGTGAGTCTGGGCAGACCCTGCACAAAGGGGATCGGTGATCCCTACATCATTGCATGTAAATGGATATTGAGAAATGCCCGGGACTGGGTAACAGAAGTACTAAATAATTATTAAAATAGAAGAGACACTCTTCAGGCAAAATCCTAATTATTGCCCAACCGGATGTATTGAGTTGTTTTAGCAAAGCCTCATTGGGGTGGGGGAAGAGCAAGAGGGGAGAAAAGTAAAATCCTTCTACATAAGTCACCTGGGGTAGAAGGGTGAGGAGCATGCAGGAGAGTGGGCGTGAAGGTGCGCTGAGTGTCTCGTGTCAAGGAGGGGTGCTGGACAAGAACGGAGCCTCCGATAGGCGTGCATGCGGTTAGAACACTGGGAAAGGGAAGGGAACCATTCTCCGGACCGCAGTGTCCAGGAACATCTCCCAGTTTACAAGGGGAGGAAAGGCAGTCCCTGGTAACCTGATTAAACCAGTCAAAATAAGGAAGAGTAGAGCCCTGGCCAGTTTGGCTCAGCGGTTGGGCCTGCGGTCCAGAGAGACCCCGGTTCAGTTCCCGTTAAGGGCACGTACCTCGGTTGCAGTTTGTCCCCGGCTCTGGTTGGTCATGTGGGTGGCAGCCACTCGATGTGTCCCTTCACATCGATGTTTCTCTCTCTCTCTCTCCCTTTCTCTCCCTCCCGCTCTATCTGAACAAAAAAATGGAAAAATGTCCTCGGGTGAGGATTAAATAAATAAATAAATAAATAAATAATAAGGAAGAGTAGAAAGGACACAAGAACAACTAAGAGCAACATACGTTGCAAATATAAAGTGAGGTGAAAGGATGAATGAAAACAAACAAAGCAGCCGGGAGTCAGGATTGAGAACACAGTCCTTGGAGCCAGACCTCCTGGTTCAAATCCCAGCTCTGCCACTTTTTGACTGTGGCTTTGATCAAGTTACTTAACTGCTTAAGAATTTCAGCACCTGGGCAATGGGGATGGTAATGGCACCGCCTTCGTGGAGGGTGGTGTGGATTAAGTGAGTTAACGTACCCAAAGCACTTAGAACAGTGTCTGGTGACCACTTAGATCAAGCAAGTATTTGCCTTATTATTTATGAAACATAGTAGCAATGTTAACATTTGGTAAGAGGAAACTTAATAGTAAGGGCACTAAATCATATAAAGAAGGTGATTATATAACAGTTATGGCCACTTATTGTAAATCTATGTGTGCCAAATGGCAGCTAAATATATATTAAAAAGTATTAAAAGTGTGAGAATTTAATGAAAATACTTTACATTGTATCTCTTTTAAGGTGGAGAGATCCTGTAGAAAGAAGTAAATAAGATCTAGAAAAAAAAAGAATAATAAAATCAGCAAATTCAACCCAATAGACAGTTTTGAGCCTTTTGTTCCTGGAACAAAGCCTTTTCTGCATTGAACATTTCAAAAAATCAATCATATGCCACAAAGCAAACCTGAATACCTTCAAAACATTACATATATTACAGACCACATTTTTAAAAATCAGAATCCAACACAATTAGAAATAAATAATAAAAATGATAAATAAAACACTTAGCTTGAAAACGAAGAAACACAATTCTAAGTAATCCTTAGATCAAAGAGGAATTCAAAACAAATTAAAAGTAAAAAAGAAAACATGTCACACCCAATGCATAGACACATAATACTGTACTGAAAAAAATGTCTTCATTATTAAGAAAGAAAGGATAAAACATAGGACTCATCTTTTAAAATTACAAAAAAAAAAAAATACAGCAAAAGAAAGAATTAATAAATATTTAAGCTGACGTTAGGCAAATAGAAAATGCTTTTAAGAAGTGGTTGAAAGGGAAAGGATCCAAGAAACCCACAGCTTTCTTTTGAGAAGGAGCAAGAAGGTGGTGGTGGGGGGAGTGGGAAGGATGGGATGGAGTGGAGGAAGGGGGTGGGGAGGAAAGATGTGCCAAGGAATAAGGAAATGTCCACAAGAAACATCTGATGTAACCTTTTGCTTTTGAGGGGTCTCCCGCCACTTAGGACTCGGGTGCCCTAGTCTGTCCGTCACAGCGCTTCCGCTTCTGCTCCTCTCCTGCGGGCAGCCTTGCGGTCATCCTGAGTCCCTCCCCTGCAGGGGACCTGTATGGATTTGCTGCGTGTCAGCACCTCCCAGCACATGCTCAGTAAACCCCAGGGATGTCTTCATCGTCTCCATTCCTATGAGGGCTTCCCAGGATGGATGCTCCATGAGGTCATGCTTTTTTAGGTCGGGTCACTTAACCTTCACGCAGATCTGCTTCCATGTCACGTCTTTCCTGTCCATTCCAGTAGAAGTACTGTCATCGAATAACTACTAGAACGATTAGCGTTGGCTGTGTTTACTGTGGACCAGGCATTGTGCTGAGGGCTTTATGTATATCTTGTGTAATATTCACAGTGGTCTTAATAGTGTAGTCACCATTCCTATTTACAGATCCGGAAAAGGAAGCTCAGAGAACTTCACACACTTGCCCAGCATCACACAGCTGGAGGAACTAGTATTTGGACCCGTTTGTCTGATGCCCCGCTCCCCTCCTGGCTCTTGATTGTATTACTTTTTAATAAAAAGTAGGGATTGTTCACCTAGAACAATGACTATCAGAGAACATCCTGGAGTGGTAGACATACATACCAAGAGGCCAGGGCCCTGGTCTGGACCTCCATCAAGTCACCTGACACCTGAGTCTCAGTGTTTTTATTGGTAAATTAGGGGACTTGGTGTGGCTGTGACCCTAAGTTCGCTCTCTGTGCGTTAGCCCCTGGTTCTCTGTGGATTCCAGGTGACTGTTAAAAAGGAGCCTCTTACGCCCTGGCCAGTTTGGCTCAGTGGTTAGAGCGTCAACCTGTGGTCCTGAGAGACCCGGGTTCGGTTTCCGCGTACCTCGGTTGCAGTTTGTCCCCGGCCCTGGTCGGTCGTGCGGGTGGCAGCCACTCGATGTGTTCCTTTCACATCGATGTTTCTCTCTCTCTCTGTTCCTCTCTCTCCCTCCCACTCTACCTGAACAAAAAATGGAAAAATGTCCTCCGGTGAGGATTAAAAAAAAAAAAAAGGAGCCTCTTACGAAAGGAGTTAAACTTTACCTCTGGTGGTTTTGTGGCATCATGTAAATTCTCAGGTAGACTCCCCTGTGGTGTTTTGTGTTGCCAGGTGCTCCAGGAGCAGATCCGTGCCCGGGACAATATTAGCTATGGAACGAATTCTGCCTTAAAGACTCTGGAGCTGCGTCAGCTGTCCGGTTTGGGGGATCTTCGAGGGAGAGTGGCAAGGTAGGTGGTCAGGTGTTTGGGACCCCACTTCTCAAAAGCGATTTTTCGTCAGCTGCACTTGAGCGGGGACTATATTCATGAAGCCTCAAAGCAGATTCTTTGCATTCTTCTCGTACGTCCCTCCTTTGCCCATACAATTTAACAGTGGGCATTAGACCTGGCTATGAGCATGCCGTGACTTCTTGTGTCCGCAACTGGAGTTGTGCACGTGGAAGGAAATGGTGGGGTAAGACTTATGTTTATTGAATCCAATAGTATACAAAGTTGGGGCTCACGCCCAGCTGGTGTGGCTCAATAGTTAAGCGTCGACCCATGCACAAAGTTGGGGTTTACATTTTGCACGTCTTTTTTAAAATTTAATTTTTCTTGTAATTCATGTATTACTAAATTATCTTTAATTGCAGTTGACATACAGTATTAATTAGTTTCATCTGTACAATATAATGATTCGACATCTATATATCCTAGTAAATCTAGTACCCACCCTGACACCATGCATAGTTAGTATATTATTGACTATATTTTTATTTTATTTTCTGGAAGTACTGGTCCGTGGTAGACTGGACATTTTAAAAAGAGCTCTTTACCTCAGATAGGGTGCAAAGTGCTGTTCTAACCCCTCCCGGCGTGGTATCGCCTGGCAGCTTGATAGACATGCTAAGTGCCCCTAACGTGTTTGCGGGCCTCTGCTGCCCGCTGCTGCTGAGAGCCGAGCACAAGTCTCCACAGCGGCTGTGGAGCTCACAGGCAATTCGAAACAGCCTGCGGTGCCACGGAGAGTGGTCTGCAAAGGATGGGAGTGGGAAAAGAGCCTTGTGGGAGCCAAGGCCTCTTCGGAGCAGAGAGCGGTAGTGTGAGGAGGCAGGCGTGTGTGCAGACAGCAGCTAACGGGCTTTTCCTGCTGGGCACGTGGATTTGGGCCTGCTGGGCGAGCGGCAGTCCAGTAGCAGAGACTGAACGAGGCCTGATTGACCACTTTTTTTTTTTTTTTTTTTGATTGACCACTCTTGTGTGGTTTTCTACCTGCGCCTGAGTGAACTCCAGTCTCCTTAGTATGACCCTTAGGGACAAAAACCCTGCTGACCTCCTCACCTTTGTTTATGCTTGTACTATACATTTCAGCAGTGATTAACGGCTTGTTGTTTCCTGAATGGGCCATGCTTTCTATTACAGTGCCTTTGCACATGCTGTTCTTATACCCAGCATGTCTTTCCTCCTTCTTTTCTAACTTCTAGTCAGCCTTTAAAATGCTGCTCAAATGTCACCTCCTCCAGGAAGTCTTCCTGATAGCCCACTCTCCTGAGCTCCCCTAGCATTCTCTGTTCTATTGACTCTCTCTGTTGTCTTCACTGTCTTGGGTTATTTTTGTTCAAGTGTCTGGGAACAGTCCCTGGAAAACAGTAGATACTCAATAAATGTTTGGATGAATGAATGATCTAGAAAATCACTGTAATAGGATGAATTCTCTCTTTGGAGATCGGCTTAAAAGAAACCCCAGCTCTGTGACAGCTCTCAGAACAGTGAGGAGTTAGGAGAACTTCAGGGCTGCAGGGCAGAGGAGGGACTCAGGAGAACTTGGAGGACCTTCTTGGTCACTTTCATTGCAGATGAAGACGAAGCGAGGCAATATACGTAAGAGGCTCAGTGCGGCGCATGGGATGGTACGAACATACAGCAGATGGGAGCTGCTGTTATCTGAGGGGCAGCAGGGAGATCATCCTGGTTCTAGTCGCAAAATGGAGATGGTACTTTGAAACACTTTCAGAAATTTTACATTCCCCTCTGCAGTTTCTCGTTAACGGCTCTACCCCGCTTGTTCCTTCTCTGAAACAAATACTTTTACTCTGGAACAATTAAAAAGTGTGTTTTGAGCACCACATGTTTTTACTGTTTTATATTTGACTTTCCCCTATAATGTTAATGAGACTTTAATTTAGGAAATAAACTTAGGTGAAATAAAAATTCTTTGGCAACGTTTTGGCTTTCTTGCATTGGTTATGTTGTTGTATTGAAGATGAATGAACTTTTAAAGTGATATTCTTACATTATTGGGCTGCTATATTATTTCAGATTTGTTTCAGAGTGTTTCGAGGTCGTTGGTGATGTGACTGATAGGAAACAGGTCCCGGTGGCTCCTCTGTAGATCCAGCTCAGAGGGGCAAAGGCAAATTTGCCATGGAGGTGAGATCCTCTTTACCTCCACTAAGCATAGCACACCCTAAAAAAAGACTTTCTTAAAGTTTCCCATTTCTCCCTAAAGCAGAGCTCAGGGTATTTAGCTTTTCCTGTTCTTGCTGGAATATTTGTTTATTTCTCCCTTGTGTTCTTCATTTTTCCGCGACTCATCGGCCACATCCACTTTCCTCTCTGAGGTCTGTTTGCCTGGTGTCAGGGCCTTGGAGAATTATCTGTATACTAAGGCCGATGTGCAGATTCCTGCAAGGTAAACCAGCCCAGGTGCAAAGGAAAAAAAAGATAAATCACACATCATCAGATTAAAGATTTTTGACTATCATAAATGATACTGTTCCGAACATTCACATAGTTTTTGTGTGGTCATATGTTTTTAGTTCTCTTGTGTATGTACACCTAGATGTGTAATTGTTGAGTAATACAGTAACTCGGAACAACCAGACTGTTTTCCAAAGTGGCTGCATCATTTTCCGTTGCCAGCAGCAGTGTATGAGAGCTCCCGTTTCTCCACATCCTCTCCAACACCTGTCTGTCTTTTTGATGATGGCCAACCTAGTGAGTGTGAAGTGGCATCTTGTGATTTTGATTTGCATTTCCCTTAATGACCAATGATGTTGAACATCATTTAATGTGCTTATTGGTGATTTGTATCTCTGCTTTGATCCTTTGCCCATTTTTAAATTGGGTTATTTGTCTATTATTGAGTGTAGGAGTTCTTTATATATTCCAGATGCAATTCTCTTATCAGATATTTGAAAAAAGTCTCCCCATTCTGTTTTCTTTTCATTTTCTTAATTGGGTCCAGTTGGTTCTTTAAAAAAATATTCCTATCTCTTTATTCATCTATTTAATAAGATATTGTCATTATACCTTCATTTACTTTTTAAAGCATGTTTCTTTTTTTTAATCCTCACTTGTTATTTTTTTCCATTTATCTTCAGTCAGAGTGGGAGGGAAAGAGGGAAGGAGGGAGGGAGGGAGGGAAGGAGAGAGAGAGAGAGAGAGAGAGAGAGAGAGAGAGAGAGAGAAAGAGAAACACTGATGTGAGAGAGACAGATCGACTGGTTGCTTCCTGCACGACCCCTACCAGGGCCGGGGACCAAACTGCAACCGAGGTATGTGTCCTTGACCAGAATCCAACGGTGATTCTTTGGTCCACGGGCCAACGCTCTAACTGCTGAGCCAAACTGGCCAGGGCTAAAGGATGTTTCTTTTATTTCTTCGATGATCCTATATTTACAATGGCTGCCTTGAGTTTTTGTCTTTTATATTTCTGACTTCTGCTCCTCATGGGCAGCTTCTTTTGTCTGCCTTCCCCCCGTGTATAGATACATTTCCAAGTTTCTTTGCATGTCTAAGACTTTTTGTTAATAACTGGACATTTTAGGTAATATATTGTTGCAATCTGGTATGCAGACACACTGGTGTTTATTTTTGTTGTTTGTTAAATGACGTGGCTGGATTATTTTAGTGATGTCTATTTCCCCCACTATCTGAAGTCTTACATGTCCCTCCTCAGAAGGATGCAAAATCACTCTGTGATGACAGTGGTGGTTTCAGCAAGGCTCTCTTTGTCTCTCTGCCTGATCTTTTATTAAGCTGTCTGCCTCTCTTGGTACCACACCCAAATCTTAGACTCCACTAATTGCTGGCATATCGCTCTACTGTTTTTGACAATGCCCTAGAACGTAAATTGCTCTGTGATCTGATTCAGTTAAATTATTGCCAGCATTTATGAGGTTAATGACACACACACACACACACACACACACACACACACACATATTAATTATTATAATATGGAAGATGAGAAAATGTTTTAAATGTCATTGCTTATAGTATGCTATGCCACTGTGTCACAAGCTGTAAGAGAAGTTCTGCTTAAACAGGTTGCCCAAGTCACCTGTTGCTTGACCTCTGGAACCCTACTGGACTTTTGACCACCTCCCTGTTAGCATTGATTTGTTGGCGACAAATCATTCTGCCTCCTGATGGCCACAACTAGGAAGTGTACCTGGGAGATTGCTGCCCAAAGACTGGAAAAGGGAAGGAAACTGGCAATCTGTGATACAAAACATCAAGGATGAGGTAGACACGCGATCAGATTCTTTGCAGATTCTTGTTTAACTACAGTTATTGAGCATGCGCATAGCCATGGTACAGGGCTGAGGCTGTCTTTTATGAGTGTTTTTTGAAAAGACAAGAACAGTGTCTGTGATTCAATACTAGCTGAAATACCAATATTGCTTTTCCCCTTCTCTATATATTATGCATGATTTTATATATATGCAAATATATATTTGTGTATATAATTTCAACCTTATAAAATATGCAAGATTCACCATTTGTTAACATTTTGTCCTGTTTATTACTCTTTTGCATATAACATTTTTTCCTGAAACATTTGAGGGTAAGAATACATTGTTTTTGACATAAAAATCTGAGTTGATTTCACTGTGAATGTTTTCTGCTGAGAGGCTTTGGTGCCCCACACTGTGTCTCTCCCTGCCTTCCCTGCCCGCTCTACCCCTTCGTTTACACGAGTGTGCACGTGATGTGTGCTGGTAATAGACAGTCAGGCACGCTATGAAATACATACACTGGGAAATGAAGGCTCGCCAGCTCCATCTCTGGTTCACTCCTTAGAGGTACGTAACTAATGCTAACAATTTGGTGTCTGCCCTTTGAGACTTTTCTCATACACTGTTGTAAAATAATAATTTATCATTGTAGTAATGTAATGATTTGCAGCAAAATAATCACCTAACAGTGTGATTTTAATTTTAATTTTACAAAGTATTATATAT